GGGCATTGACTTTAGTTTTTTCTCCTTGAATCTTTCTTTTTATTTTAATGTGATTTTCATACTTACTATACACCCCAGATTAAGACTCTTGCTTTTTTCTCTCTTTTTTTTCTCCCTCCTTTTATCCTTCCTTCTCTCCATTCTCCTCCCTTTCCATTTCCTCCTTCCTTTCTCTTCTCTTTCCTTCCTTTTTTCCCCCCTTCCCTTCCCCCCCTCCCTCTGTGGTGTATGCTAGGCAACTGCTTTCTTCCGCTGAGCTACATCTCAGACCCTGAATTTCTTTTTTATTCAGAATGATCGCTAGACTTAATAAGCTTCATAGCAGTGACAACTCAACACATGTATTTTGTTTACTATGTGCTAGACATTTGTTATAAACAATCTATATAGAAATGCTTTTTTACTTTTGAAAATGTCTTCTCCAAGAAGTAGATGGAGGTGGGCACTATTCTTACCCTCCTTTTATAGACAAGGAACCTGAGGCCCAGAGAGGCAGAGTATCCTGCCCACATTCATACCACCAGGCAATGGCAGAGCTGTGTTTGCAGCAGAAACAATTAGCTCCGATTTCTATGGTTTCAGCCATTTCTCCATGGTGCTGCTTGACACCAACTCATTTCAAACTGTGAGGTTCTCAAACCCAGGATGTAAGAAAACAGAATTGATGGAGCTATGGCTCAGTGTTGGAGCACTTGCGCAGCGTGCACAAGGCTCTGAGTTCCATCTCCCACACCACAAAAGCAAAGACAGAACAAAACACCACCACACCCTGTGTGCACGCACGCGCGCGCGCACACACACACCACACACACATTCATTCTGTCTTTGGTTATTGAAAAATAAAAGTGTTTGTAACCAGCATGTGCCATGTTTTACCACTGTATTTTGTAAACCTTTAGGCTTGTCAGAGCCCTGACATAAAAGTGAACGTGGTATTGTACAGAGAAATTGTAAATCACCAGGCCCCACCCATCTTTATCTAACTCAGAACAGAAACCTGCATAGATTGGATTGAACTGCAGTGGGCTGAGGGAGCTGGGCTCTGGCTCTTGGTCCACGTCTTTCCGTGCTGTGTGGAAAGCCACTCTCAGTCTGTCACCTCTTCCTTCCCCACTGCCACAGGTCCTGTCTTCCCCAATACATGCTTTATGATACTCTGCCTTTTGATTTTACTTACATATCCCCTTTCTCTTTAAAGAAAACATTCTTACCCAATAGTAAAATTACTCCTGGGCCACTGGAAAGAGCTGGCCCTTTTCTCTGGGTACTAAATGGAAAATAAAAATGACCTGCATTTTGATGACAAAGGAGAAAATCCTTTTTAAAATTGTAATGTGAGTACATCTCCTTAGTCTCTAAGATATTATTTCACCATGAACTCTCAGAACTCCTGACCTATCCCGTCTATATCAAGTGGGACATTTTAAGAAATACCCTGGAAGAAAGAGGAAGTTTTGAATCTCCCAGTCAACTAATTGGTTAGTCCCCTTGGACTTCCAAGCCACATAAATGTTATTGCAAGAGTTAACTGTCAGACAGGCAAGGAAAGGCAGTTTAAAATAGGCTGGAGATTCAGATTTATGCTCTATTTATGTGACCAGTTTCCTACGTGGTAATTGTTAGAAGAGTCAAACTATTTCAGGTGCTGCCTCTGTGCAAATCACACTCTGTAAAGCCAGCACAAAAGACTAAGGGGGGAAAAAAGGCCATAAAACCTTTTGCTTTTATACACACAATGATAAGTAGAATGGGTCGTTACTTTCCCTACCAAATGACTAGAGCTTTTGGCATCATCCCCAGATAGCCACATAGCTGGCTGGCTTCCCCAGTTCCTTCCTTATTTCTCTTTCTTAGCTTCCTTCCTGTCTGTCTGCCCCCCTTCTCTCCCTCCCTCCCTCCATCCCTCCCTCTCTCTCTCCCTTTCTTTCTGTAACATGAACATTCTTGGTTTTTTTATTAAGTTTATTTATTAATTAAGTTTAGATATACGTAATAATCATAATCATCATAGAGAATTTGCACCTGTACGTGATATATCCCGATTTTTCTTTTTGTTCCCATTCCGCTCCCCTCTCTTCAATCCCTCTTCTCTTCCTTATTTATGAAAGCTTTGTTTCCACTTTTTTCCTTCTTTTCTAATTTTTTTTCTTTTTTCTTCCTTCCATTCTCCCTTCCCTCTCCTAGTTCCCCTTCCCATTTGAACATTTTCTTCCTATTTCACAATATTTAGTATACATTTGGTCCTTATTTATACTTTTGATTTTTTTTTAACCTCTTCTCTTCTTCGTTTTTATGGTCTTTGGCCAGTGCCCCCCAAAATGACATTTTTCCCCTTTAGAAGCTCCCATCTTTTCTTAGGCCTCTTAAATACTGCCTTCCAAAAGTCTAGGAATCCCACACAGCCACACTTATTCTTCCCCTCCTTAGGCTGTCTGACTGATGTCTCCTCAATCTTTCTCCTGCCTCCACCTCAATAACCATTTCCTCCTGGTCGTCCAGAAGATGGTCAGGATGAGAAATCCCCCTTTTTACTGCTTCAGTCTTCTTGTTAATAAAGCATATATATATTTTTAAAAACTTATTAATGCTCAGCTTTTAATTGCTGGAAACATTCAATAGACCAGAGAAATGAAGTCTGTCATCACTAGAATTGATGTTTCACTAGGACATAAGGTCATACAAAGAACATCAGTGTCGGATCAACATATGCTCAAAAGCTGCAAGATCGAGCTGTGTGTTCTGAGTTGTAGAGATCAACTGGAACTCTACCATTGCCTTCTTTTGCTTTATACAGTCCAGCACCTCTAATTTCTTTTTGTCTGGTGTCTCTTAGATTTGCTCTTTTCTTTTCCATTTTCACTATCTTAGATGACACTCATCTGTTGTGCTCTGAAACCCCAAATCTGAACTTTTACTTCTCTTTTCATAAGACTTCGCAACTTCCCACAAACAGCACGCTGTAATTGTCTCTTTATCTGCTTTAACCACCAAACTATACTTGATTCTTCCTACAAAATAAGATTATTGACTGTCGATTGACTGAATTCCTGATGGTTAGTACTACTCCATATAGCCCTCCAATAGAATTTTCATACTGCCATCAGGTCAATCTCAATTACTATTCATGGGGCTGGAAGGTGTAGCTCAGTGGTAGAGCAGTGGCCTTGCATACATGAGGCCCTGGCTTCCATCACTTTCTTTACTGCAAGAAAGTAAATAAATCACTGTTCATGATATTTAATTCAGAATATCTTTTTCCTGTTTTCTCCATCAAGTCCAACTAGTTAGGATTGTTTCTCAGGGTCCATAATCAATTGATTGTACTCTACCCACTTAGCCCTCTTTTTCTCCAACATGTGGACACATACCTCTGCTCCAGAAAAGAGTCCTCCCTGTTCTTCTCACTGTGGCCCTATACATTCCTGTCTCCTGCCTTCACTTGTGGTATTGCCTCCTCCTTGAACCTTTTTTCTCTTGCTCTCTCTAAACCAACTCCTCTAGGGGATACAGCTCAAGTCCTACTCCTTCTGTGAAGCCCACTGAGCTTTTCCTGTCCACACCGACCTTTGCCTCTTTTGATCATCTGCCTGCTCTCAGTTTGGCACTTTAATTACTAGGTTTTGTTCACCCATTTGGACTCTGCTGCTTTTGAGGATAGGAGCTTAAATAGCCTGGATCTTAAATGTCCCTCAAATGTACATTTTTGCAGGCTTAGTTCCTGGTGTTATTAGGAAGTTCTGGAAACTTTAAGAGGTGAAGCCTAGTGGGAGGTCTGGTATTTGGGGATATGACCTTGAAGGAGGTAGGAAGGGACCCCTGTCCCTTCCTCTTCCTGTTTTTTTCATTCCCTGGCAATTAGGTGAGTGATTTTGCTACATGGTGCACTCACATGTGCTGCCTTGCCACGGGCCCCAAAGTAGCAGGGCCAACCAGTCATGGACAGGAGCCTCCAAAACTGTGAGCAAAAAATAAACTTTCTCACTTTATAAGTGGACTCAGGTGTTTATGATGGTGACAGAAAGCTGTCTAACACAGAATACCTTGTTTTTTAGTCATTTGTATCCTACACAGCTCCTAATTTAAGGTTGGCTTCTGCTCTGCTCCTCATGCTTACCTTTCTACCCTCCCAATATTGTGTCTGGTCTTTCTTTTTCACATTTAAACTATAAGTAAACTGTGGTCTAACTAAATATCTTTTGGATAAACCTTAGGTTTTTTTATTCTGTATTAGGACATCATTTCCTTTTCTCTGATTTTGTTATAGTGAATGCATGAAGGCATATTCAGCAGATCCTTTCCCTTCTACCCTCCTATGCTATCCAGTATCCTACTACAACATCCAGCATTGCATAGGTCTGGTAGGCATGGTCAGTAGCTCCCAATATCAAGTTACCCATGTCAAAATGTATTGACTGCTTGATCAGCAGCATTCCAAGTAGGTACTAGAGCCTGCCAAGATCATGCAAAGATTTTTATATACACTCAGTGGATTTGAGCATCACCAGTGATAACTGCTGTGTAAATCAAAGGTTCTACCTTGGACCAACATCAGCGAGCTAGTCATTTCAGGCCGGCAGGAACATTCTTCCACCTGCAGAGTTTCTTCCATGTTCTGGGAAGTAGGACTATCCAAAATATGTAAGGGTCAGGAACTTGCTTGTCTCTCTGAGGATACCCAACTAACCCTAACCCTTAATGTACACATGAACTACATGGGAGCCACATTGAAATACTGTATCAATTGAGGCTTTTGGTTTAAGGTGGGATCTGAAGTTTGCATTTCTACCAAATTCCCAGATAACACTACATTGATGTTGGGGCTACCTGTCTATGCATCACAGTTTGAATAGCAAGGGTTTAGAATACAGATACCTCCTTGACCACTGAACTTTAGCAGTGGAGATAGCCTTGCAGAAGTCTCTTTCCATGCACACTGTCTTTCATTATAGTATCTTCTATAAAAATCAGGCTAAGTCTGTCTTTAATTCTTTTTCAAACAGCATATCTAAATTTTGCAACCATAAGCACCAGCCAGGAGAATATATATTCTATGCAGAAAATGATGATGCTCAATTCACCAAAATGTTCACACTGAATATAAGAAGTAAGTCCAATCACCAAGAATTTTATTTTTGTCTTTTAATGCCTTTATATTCTGTTAATCTTAACTAGCGTGCACCAAGTCATGGCTTAGAAAGCATGCTATAGAACTTTTTTTTTGTATGCTAAAATATTTGACATTTTATCTACTGGCTAATTCCATATCTTCCCTGCATATGCTTTAATATTGTAACTTTATTGACTTTAATACTTCAAAAAATTATGTTAAGGAAAAGCTGAAACCCATTTATTTGTTTGAATAATTATCATTTCTTTGGCCTATAAATAGATAAGAGTAAGGAAAAGGAGAAGTATATATTTCATTATACTTTTTGCTGATATCCTCCTGAAGCTAAGAATCATTTTTAGATCCAGTATGTAGGTAGAGATCTACCCTTTAGCTTTCTCCAAGAAGAGTCAAGCAGTAGAAATGTAGAGTGCAGTGAAAGCTGTTGCTGATATGGGACACGTAGAAACTTTTGCCTCCACAATAATGAAAATTAAATCAGAGGCAATAGCACAAACTTACAGGCAAACTCCTTAATTGTGAAAGTAGAGAAAATGGGGAAGGAAGGTTAGCTTGAAAAGAAGAGCTGAAGGGGAGCAGCTCTGATGGATGAGATCAGACTAGCCTTCTTAATAAAGGAAAGAGACCAAGTTTTGTTGGGTTGCTGGTCTGGGATTTGGTAATTTTCCCTTGGGTCATAAATATAGATCTTTTTAGAACCTCTTACTATTTTAAGGGATTTCTTCCTGGTGTAAGATATGGATCAGTAGCATATATCTTATCCTTGGTGATATCATGGTGCCCCACCCCAGTATCCCTGAGAATAGGGGAATAAGGGAAGGGTGCATTCCATACATTGTTGGTAGAGGAGAAAGGGAAAAATACCCACCTTCTGTGGATAACAGGTCTTGGATTAAGGTCTAAGAATTCCTCCATCTCTTGTCCCCTCTTGTTTCTAACTGCCATATCAGGGATACCTGTCAAGGTTTCATGGCAAGGAGGAAGGAAGAAGTAAAAGACATCTTGAGACATCCCAAATGAGACACCTGTCAGAAACACACACTGCCTGGAACAAATGGGCAGACTATACTGATGTCAAATTTAAAACTATTTCTGGAAAGTATCAACCCCATGAGCTCATTATGCATGTTATTGTCTGCAGGAAAACCTCAAGTGCTGGCCGAAGCATCAGCAAGTCAAGCATCTTGTTCCTCAGATGGATACCCATTACCCTCTTGGACCTGGAAGAAATGTTCAGACAAGTCTCTCAAGTAATCAGAACCCCTCTGCATGAAAAACTCTCTGACACATTGTCTTTTTCCTGAATACAGTTTAGGAAGAAATGATGACATATGTAAAGTTATTACCTTTTGAATCAACCATAATTTTCCATGACCATAAATTGTTTCTGATAACTTGTCATAGATAAATGTCTATGAGAACTGGTTACAGAAACCCTGACTTCCTCTCTGACAACAGCTGCAGCTATCTTAACTGTTCTGCCTGTCTTTGGTTTTCAGCTGCACAGAAGAAATCACAGAAGGAGTCTGGAATGAAAAGGCTAACAGAAAAGTGTTTGGACAGTGGGTATCGAGCAGTACCCTAAATATGAGTGAGGCTGTGAAAGGGTTCCTGGTCAAATGTTGTGCGTACAATTCTGTGGGCACATCTTGCGAAACAATCCTTTTAAATGCACCGGGTATGCTACAGTTGCTGTTGTAATACTTCACCCTCAGGAATTCCCCACTAGAAGTAGTCCCTGTTGTTGGTTTTTACTGGGGGAATTTTACAAGTATAGGTCGGATGTGTAAGAACAGAAGGCTTTTTGAGTAAGGCAAGAATCCCCACTGACCTATATTGTACTGTTTTGCATTTCAGACAGAGTTCTATTTACATTATTATTATTATGACTCATAAGTTAAACATTTAATAATTCAGAGCTTATCATTTTCCTTTTGATTAATCTCCTTATTTACCTTTATCTTATTTGTATTTTTTTCTTAGATCCCTTTCCTGAATTAAACAGTTTTGAAACTCTACTAGTTTAGAATAGCCAGCATTACAAAGCTAATGTCTCCAATACTCATATGACATATTCATAGAAGGAATATAGACTTAAAAAGCCTGACTTGTACTTCCCATGGGTTTAAACAGATGAATTTTTTATAACCCTAGTAAATGATTTTTTTTTTTAAAGTGGGTCAGAATCATTTAGAATTTTCTAGGAAGGGCATTTGTCCTTTATGTGTATGTTGCTTTAGTTTCTGTTGTAGCAGGATATGTGAGATTATAATAAGAGACTTACTGTTTATAACAGTGAACGGAAATCGTATTTCATTGCTAATAATGCTCTTTTGTTGCAGGTCCCTTCCCTTTCATCCAAGACAACATCTCATTCTATGCAACAATTGGGCTTTGTCTTCCTTTCATTGTTGTCCTAATTATGCTAATTTGTCACAAGTACAAAAAGGTAAAAGCAGCGGGAAAATTTCATTATTGTTTCCTATATCTGAAAAACTGCCTATTGCTCACTGACTCATTATTTCATCTCTGAAGCAATTTAGGTATGAAAGCCAGCTGCAAATGGTACAGGTGACTGGCTCATTGGATAATGAATACTACTACATAGACTTCAGAGAATATGAATATGATCTCAAATGGGAGTTTCCAAGAGAAAACTTAGAGTTTGGTAAGAATTGGATGTTGTAGATTTTTCTGTAGTATTTCCTTTTCATTGGAAGACCTTTAAAATACACTTATTTCCTGTTTACCTTTACAGGAAAGGTGCTAGGATCAGGTGCTTTTGGAAAAGTGATGAATGCAACAGCTTATGGAATTAGTAAAACGGGAGTCTCAATCCAGGTTGCAGTTAAAATGCTGAAAGGTACAGTACATACAGTGGAATAATGTCAACAAAGACTCACAGAAATGGAAAGCAGTTTCCCACTCCTGCCTTCTTTTCTTCTTATTTTTATAGTTTTCATCTGCCATGTATCAAGGTTTCAAAGAAGTAGGTTGGGGTCAGGGCCAATCAAGTCATAAATACAAAATACAGGTCATGAATACACAAATACAAAACTCGACTGCTTCTCTATTTAATTTTTTTTTTTTTTTTT